AAAGCCTTGGTATATGCTGCGAAGGCCCTGGCCAAGAGCGCTTTGGGCTTAATCCCTTTTCACATCTTGTCACTTCCCTTTTTACCCCTTCCATTTAGTTTTAATACTGTATGATCTTCGTCATTTCTGAAAGCAACTGAGAGCATTCTCTTAAAGGAGTTTCTTTTCTTTGAAGTTATACAGAGGGAGTATAAGATCTTCATTTGCCTTTGATTTCTGCAAATAGCCAATAGCCAGTCTGCCGACAGGAAGATCGTTTTTCTCTATTCCTAGTTTTGTACGTCTGCCTGTGTCGCTGGGATATAGCCTTACGCACTGCTTGTGAAGGAGCAACATGGCAGTCACAGACCCCACAGAAGGCATGCGCCCCACTAGCTGTGAGGGCAGCGGGAGGTGACAGCACTGCTCAGCGTTCGCTTCTTGTGGAGTAGCACTGACACCTGTGCCGGCCCCAGGCGGCGCACTTACTTTCCGCTGAAGCTGCCTTAGTACTTGCTTAGGTGCTGAAAGACATCTCACAAGCTGACTCCACGTTTCCTCCATGTCACTGGCCCTGGCCATCTCCGCAGGAAACGGCTAGCTTCTGAGCCTGGCCACTCCAGGCTGGCTGTGGGACGGAGGGGAAAGAGCCATGCCAGGGCTGTGCTGATCGGGGACGCCTTCGTCTTCCCCTTCTGGGGCTGCTGATGTGGCCTCTCTGTCATCTGGGAATTCCAGCCCTTTTCTCTTGCTTCCCATGAGAACTCCTGCCTTTTTAGTGCTTGGAAGATAGTAGAAAACGTGATGTAATAAACTGTAGGGTTCACAAGTTCTTGAGTGCATCAGGTGTTAACTGGGGAAGAGGTATGATTTTGTAATTGCTGCTGTAGAAGGTTTTGTTTTGTTTTGGGGGAGTTTGTTTGTTTGAGACAGGCTTTTACTGTGTACTTTGGGCTGGCCTTGAGCTCACTGTGTAGCCCAGGCTGGCCTCGAACTCATGCGATACCATGCCTTAGCCACCTGAGTGCTGCGGTCACAGGCGTGTGTCACCACTCCTGGCTAGAAAAGTTCATAAGGCAGTTTGGGACTGAAAAGATTTTTTTAACTTGCTTCCTACAAAGCCCTAGAATTGGAGAGCAGGGCTGACCTAGTATGGATCTGGTTTTATTTGCTTTGCATACTGGGTTTCTAAGGTGAGATTTCATATGACAGAGGGTTTCATGACTAAAAAGAACTTGGAGGCTACTGGTAAGTTACCTCAGAGATTTCTTTTGGTACTACTGTAGGCAGTTTCACAGTTTTGTTGCTTTCACTTCAGCACGATATTTCTTTACCTCAGCTTTTCCTGTAATACTGTATTTTGAAAAATGTATGAAAAGGTCTTTGCTTACTTACAAACTCCTTAAAATGAAACTATTATATTACTTCCTATTCATCGTCATTGTTAGAGTAAAAACAAGCTTAAATGCTCTGTTGATTTTGCCCCCAGAATCACCTGACCTGAGTTTGAACCCTGGCTCCACCATTTCTTTGTTATGTGACTCGAGGAAGTCGTGTAACTTCCTGAGCCTCCTGTACGTCCTCATCTAGTGAGAGGCGTCCTCACTGAGGGGGCCAGGAGATTCGAGGTGACAGTGGTGTGCTTGGTACAACTAGGTGTTATTATTGCAACAGCACCCCCCCCCTTAACTCTTCAGGATTACAATCACTAGATGATCTTAAATTGTAGGGGAGTTCTTCAGAATTTAACATTCGTCTGTTACTTTCAAAAATAGCTTTATAATCGTGGCCAAATGGTTATTTTCCTTGAAATTTTTGTTGTGGTTGACCTAAAGTTTTTATTCTATGTGCAATGTGCTTAAAACTGTTTTATTTTATACCTTAGTGGTTTTCTGTTTGACTCCCTCCTGTATATCTTCTAAACTGTACTCAAAGGTCCAGCCCACGAGCTAACCTGTGTGAAGTTGCAGTGATACACTAAGAACCATTATAAAGTAGGCAAGAAACGCTTTGAAAAGCTGTGTTTTGTTTTGTTGCCAGCATTTTGGCAATTGGATAAACATCAAAAAGAAGAGTGAGGACTTTATAACTTTCTACTTAGAAATCTCCAAGAAAATAAATGATAAAACTAATCCAGAATATCAGTAAGGTAGTAGAATATAATATTGTAGCAAGAATTATATGCAATGCCAAACAAATTAGGGATATGGTCATCAGGGGCTGGGGATGTAGCTCAATGGTAGAGTACCTTACTAGCTTGCCTGAGGGACCTAGGTTTGACCCCTAGTACTGCATTTTAAAAAAAAGTCACTAGGAACTCAGGATCCTTCTTTCTGTCTGCATCATGTCCCTAGTGTTTTGTCATACTCCTCATCATAAGATGCTGCCAGAACTCTGGCCATCACATCATAGTTCCAAGTAGAAAGAGCAAAAATAACAAGGCAGCCTTTGAAGTTTTTCTGAAAGCTCCACTCAGTGACTTCTGTCACTCATAGCTGCAGAGAAAAGTTGGGAAATGGGAAACGGTTTCAGCCGTGCACCCAACAAAAGAAGATAATGTGTGTTAATAAGTAGGTATGTAGATAGATAGATAGATGATGTATGTAGAGGTATCCTAATCAGATAGCAGCAAAAAGGGTAGATGCTTTGCAAATCTAGCAACAAAAGCACAGAAAGCCATGTGAAATACTGCTAAGTCAAACTTGTGAACGGAAAGGATAAATACACATTTCCAGATAAAAATATTTGATAAAGATCTGTTCTCTGAAAACTATTCTCTAAATTTGATGCAGTCTTACTTAAATGTTCAACATGGTATTTGTGGGCTTGATAAAAATAAAAATAGATCTAACGTTCACCTGAAATTTTCCACATGCTACAGAACTCTCACAGATGACTGGGATAAGGCAGATAGGCTAATATACCAGAAAAGTAAATCCACAAACAGACCTCTGTTTTTCTGGAAATTTACTAAGTAATATAAGGGGTATTTCAAATTAAGAAGAATGGACTATTCTCTACCTGCATTACTTAGGATAGTAATTAGTAGCCACAACTTCCTGTTTATAAGATTAAAGGTGCTTATAATCCCAGCACTCTACAAGGTTGTGGCAGGAGGATTGCAAGTGTGAGCTCAAAATTTAAAAAGGAAGACAGACATGGTACTGCCTGCCCATAATCTCAGCACTTAAGAGACTGAAGCAGGAGTATCACATCCAGTTCAAGGCCAGCATAAACTACATAGCAAAATCTTGTCTCAAAAAAATCTGGGCATGGTGGTACACGCCTGTAATCCCAGCACTCGGGAGGCTGAGGCAGGAGGATCATTGCGAGTTCGAGGCCAACGTGGGCTACAAAGTGAGCTCAAGGCCAGCCTGGACTGTATAGCAAGACCCCGTCTCAAAAGATAATGAATGAATGAATGAATGAATGAATGAATGAATGAAATTTTAAAAGGCCTGGGGATCAATATCAGTGAAAAATTAATCCCTGTTTTCCCTTATGAATTGATAGCCTAAAGTAGGTTTTTTCTAAATTTGGGGGATTTTCTTCTTTGGGACTTTTTATCTGAGAGATACCTGATATTGATTTACCTTCTCAGCACTTTCTATGCTCACATTGATGTGAGCTGCAAGAACTTTTATGTGTCTGTGCAGTGCTTTTTCCCTTCTAAGTGATGCTACTGAAGACATCTCACAAAGGTACAGGTAATATTTTTAAGTACTTCTGCCTCAGGATGACTACTTCTTGGAGGAATGTACATTGCCATCATCTAGCCAGGTAATTCCTCCATTCATGTAGCAAGTTTTTTATTTTAAAAACATGGCTTCCTCAGGCGAGATGAGAAGTCTGATGAGAGTGTGTGCTGTATAAAACACTGGGTGAGCCTTGTTCTCCTGCTACTTTAAAACTTGATTTCATCTTACATTGGTAGGTCCTTCATGTACCTAGCAAGTAACTCCCAACGTCTTTTCTATTATGTGACCTAATCTAATGATTTCAGAAAACTTCACAGTTCTCAAGCTCACATAATTTTTTTTTTTTTTTTTTCTTTGGTTTTTCTCCAGTACCGGGAACCGAACTCACGACCTTGCGCTTGCCAGGCAGGCACTTTTGCCGCTGAGCTAAATCCCCAGCCCCTAGCTCACGTAATTTAAATTCACTTAAACATAGGAACGTGGATTTGCTATTCACCACCGTCATGGAGATGATAGGTCCAGAAAGATCTTGGGGCATGTCATTAGACTTAAGGATGCTGGAATAATTAGAAACTCTACCTAATGTACATTGAATTTATTAACTTGAAAAAATAAAATGTGAGCAGGAAGTACATAATTCAGAAAGTATAAAGTTAGACTATAGAAAATAAGAGTGAATTTGAGTCTGTTATCTTTGATAAACCATAAAATCCAAATAATTTATCTGATACAGTTTATTGGAAACCATCAGCCGCTAAAGATCAGTTTTCCGTTTAAGGGAAGTTTTGAGGATTCGGATGACAGTGTTGGGTCGGGAGAAAGGAGTCAAGAGTTGGGTGACTTTCCTCCCGTGGAACATTGTTTGGAGAAAGGAGTTTTTCGGAGACCCTCAATAAGTCCTGAGAATCTTCTGTCAGTTGCATTATCCTCTAAGATACACATGAAGAGACTGTGTTTTCTCGGAATTCTCTAGCAGGGCAGCAAACACTGGCGCGCTGCTTTCTGGTACTTAGGTAGAGAGGCCAGCAGGATTCTCCCAGGTTCCGGGTGCCTCACATTTCTGTTGGTGAGAGCCCCTAAATTCCAGTCCAGTCCCAGCTCTTCCTATAGCCCTAGCATCTTCACTGCCTCCATCTTGGGCTTCCAACAAGACAGTAAAAAAGCACTGAGCGCCTGTTACAGGCCATGTCCGTAAGCAGAGCCTGCTCTGTCCTGTAAGAACCCTGATTTTAGGAATGGGTACCAGAAAGCAGTTTTGGCTATTAAGCTGGTTATCATTCAGAACTCCAAAAGCTTTCTAAGAGTTGATCTGTTTTTCCGTAGGGACATTCCAGCTACATCACACACCTTGACTGGTCCCCAGACAACAAGCATATAATGTCTAATTCAGGAGACTATGAGATATTGTACTGTAAGTATGAATGACCATACATGGCTCAGATGTGTCTATGATCAGGCTATGTGGCATTTGAATTATGTAGAGAGTGAATGCTGGCTTTAAAGCATATGTTACTCTGAGCTGAGTAATGAGAATCTCAGATGTGGTTCACTTTTCCAAGAAAGTAATGAATTTAGTTAATGGTGTAGAACTAAAGGCACATGTAGTAATAAGAAATTACTCAGTGAGATTGATGATGCTCTGAATGGTTTTCATTTAGCAACTTTCCCTGGAAACAGAGGAATAAAATGGATAGGCATTCTTTTTTAGAGAAAAGAACTTCCATGGGAAACAATTTATAGTTCTATAAAATCCTGTTAATAAACACTTTCTTTTCCTTTTTAAATGTGTCTTAATGTTTTTCAGTGTGTGGATTATAAATACAAGTAAACATAGCTAGTTTGAATCAAGATGCACTTTCAGATACATTTGTACACAACACGTGATTATACTTCCTGTTTCTGTATTTAAAGGGGACATTGAAAACGGCTGCAAACTAATCAGGAATCGATCAGATTGTAAGGACATTGATTGGACAACATATACCTGTGTGCTAGGCTTTCAAGTCTTCGGTAAGAACATGACATCTGATTAGAGACTATTAGGTTTTCATATGTCATATGTTTACTTGCTTAAATTTGTAAATGAAAAATATTTAGTGTTATCCCTATTCCTGTCAGATTCAGATCAAATAGGTTTTCATATGTCATATGTTTACTTAAATCTGTACATGAAAAATATTTAATGTTATCCCTATTAGTGTCATATTCAGAACAAATAGATGTATTAGGATTAGACCAATAACGGGATTTGTTCTCTGCAGAACCCAGCACTTTTGGTCCCCAAAATATAGGAAAGACGGTTGAAAGGAATTTACATAGCAGTGTAGATTGTATCCCTATTTTTTTCCTGCAAGTGAAAATTGACACTTTTAAATGGGTAAAGCCATTTTTTGAAAAAATAGCAGCTGTATTGAGATCTCATTGACATACAGTACAACTCATATTTATTGTATAAGTCAGTGCCTTTTGTATATCTAAACTTGTGAAATTATCATTGCAGTCTAATTTTAGAATACTTTCATCACACTGAAATGAAATCCTGTACCTGCAAGATACACATTTACCATCTCCCTTCTACCCAGCCACAGAAACTCTGTTGATTTTCCTATTCTGATTAATTCATATAAATGAAAGCATACAGTATGTGATCCATTGAGTCAGGCTTCTCTCATTTAGCATTAACAATTTCAGTGAGCACATACCAGTACTTCATCTGTGGCCAAACAGAATACTTTTGTATAGATGCATACTGTATTTTGTTAATCCATTCATTGATGGGCTAATCTAAATAATGCTGCTATGAACAATTACGTAGAAGGTTTTTCTACACATTTTTACTTCTCTTGAGCTTACCCTGAGGAGCAGAACTGCTGGGTCAAATGGTAACTGTGTACTTGTTGGGCTGGCGAGCTGTTTTCCTAAGTGGCCGCACCGTTTAAATTTCAAGCAGTGGTGTGTGAGGAGTCTGATTTCTCCTGGCCTTGTTGGCATGTGTCACTCTTTTCACATGCGGATGCTGTGTCCCAGTGCTACTTATCAGACTATAAAGGCATTTTTAGTAGACATTATTTAAAGATAAATTTGGAGATCATTCCTTATCTGATGTTTTGGACATTCTAGAATTCTGTCCCCTGTGACGGGTCTCTCTAAGCCAATCCCCATCTTTAGATATCTTCCTGAAAGGCTCTGAAGGTAAATGAAAAATTAAAACAGCAAACCCTTTTGTAAAGAATTAGAAATAGGTGTTATACTCAGTAGTTTCAATACTAGACATGGATGTGGCACCAGTACCCAAAGCAAATAACCAAAAATCTTGTCTTTCCCTTTAAGAATGTCTCAACCTTCTGATCGTAGATCTGAACATGTTTTTATGCAGTGTGTGTTAGAAAACTGGCGCAGTATACACTGTTTATCTAAACACAGGTGCTGTCAGGATGGAGAATAGGCTAGGAAGAAATTGCAAACAAAATCCTGACTTTTCCATAAACAATTTTCATTATTCTAGGTGAGACTCAAGTAATAACTGCTAATTGGTAACTTCCCTGGTTATTTTAAAGAGGCAGTGTTTTTTTTTTTTTACTTGTTGTGAAATACCAATTTAAAAAGTGTTTTGACTTGTTTTTAACAAATTTCTGAAAATATATTTGTTCTCTAGAGTATCATTCAGCCACACGAAACAGTATCTCAACCCTTAGGTGTTCCGTAGTTTTAATCTAGCCCAGTAAGTGTGTGCTAATTATGTTGACCACGATCACCAGTGCCTGCCTCAGAAGGATTCAGAGTAATTTCCCTTGGTGTGTCTTACCTTTGCTGTGAGTGATGTCCCAGGAAAATTCTACGGGATAGCATGCTAGACCCGTGGGCGGCCTGTTCGCTGCCATAACAAAGGTGGTCTCTAGGGTTTTCTTGGAGGGACCTGCTTGAAAAGGAACCTGGGAAACTTGGTGCTGTGGCTCTGGTTTTGCACCTTGCTGTCCAAGTAACTGAAAATCTGTCCTCTAATGAGGTAAGTTTTAAAAGAGCTTATTGTTGAGGTGAATCAAGCTGCCGTCGATTCATTAGCACCACCTACTGGTTACTACTGAGCACTATTGAATCTAAGTTTTCCATCTTGAGACTCTCGGGATTTTTAACATACATAGCTCACAGTTAGATGTTTTAGGCTAACTTTCTTACACCCTCCGTTTCTGTGTAAAGGTGTGTGGCCAGAAGGATCTGATGGGACAGACATCAACGCACTGGTGCGATCCCACAACAGAAAGGTGATTGCTGTTGCTGATGACTTTTGTAAAGTCCATCTGTTTCAGTATCCCTGCTCCAAAGCAAAGGTAAGTGAACTTTATAAAGTGTGTTGGTGAGGCCTTCTGTTTAGGGATAATTTTGTGTCGCTGGCAAAAAAAGTATTTGTAGACTAATTCCTCCCCGTGATACCTCACTGCCCCGGGGGACAGTGGGGTCATCTGCTTGCACAGTAGCAAACGCTGCTTGTCTTCTCCTTCCTTGTTAAGGCCAAAGAGAGGACAGCTGAAGAATTGGCAACCAGTGTTTTATTTCTTAATGCTATTTCCTAAGTCACCTTATAATGCTGCCAACCTAGTAAATGCTTCTCCAGCCGTCTTAGGAGTAGCTTAGGCCCTGGCAAGTATTCTAGGGACATGCAGGAGAGGCAGACATCATATGTGGTGTTTTTTTTAAATCATACAACGTGTAAGTCCAGATGTCCCATTGTCTCCAACCACCACCACGAAGCTAGGGCCTTTGCACTGAGCTACATCCCCAGGGGTTAGTTTTGTTTTGTTTTGTTTTGTTTTGTTTTGTTTTGTTACAATTTTTGAGACAGTCTCCTGAGTTGCCCAGAGTCGGCTCAAACTTGTGTGTGATCCCCCTGCCTCCCAAAGTGCTGGGATCTCAGGCATAGACCACCACACCTAGCTGTCGTGTTTTTTTATGCAGTAACGGATTAAAAGAAAATTACTGCTAGCCTTATACCTTAGATTGGACAACTTGGGGCTTTGGGGCTTTGATCTGAGTTACCTGTTTTACAGGCTGAGTTACCTATCTTTCCTGTGAATCTCCATTGCTCTAAGCAGGCCTGTAAAGGAGTGGGTCTCATTTTCTTGTCTGCCTCATTTATTTCTCACAGGCTCCCAGTCACAAGTACAGTGCACACAGCAGCCATGTCACCAATGTCAGTTTCACTCATAATGACAGTCACCTGATTTCAACTGGTGGAAAAGACATGAGCATCATTCAATGGAAACTTGTGGAGAAGTTATCCTTGCCTCAGAATGAAATTGTAGCAGATACTACTTCAACAAAAGCCCTCACCTCTTCCATCGAAGGTGTCATCCAGGCTGACGCTTATACACCAGCCCCTTCCCAGTCCTTACATGAGATAGCTGAAGAAGACAGTAGAGTGAGCAACTCTCCCACACTCCTGGAGAACAGCCTGGAGCAGACTGTGGCACCAAGTGAAGACCGCAGCGAGGAGCAGAGCGAGGGTGGCAGCGAAGAGCTCGGGGAGCCTGCTGATGAGGGGCCGGCCAGTGAGGCGGGCGAGGAGCCGAGAGAGGACCAGCAGGAAGCCCCCGCGCAGCCCTGAGGCCCTGGCTTCAGCACAGCATGGGAACCCTTCAGCAGCATGGGGTTCCACGCAAGAGTCCAGATAACGGGCCAGCCACTGACGGAGCCTTGCTGTGGACGGAGACTTTGTTTTCCACATGGTCTCCTTCCTTCAGTATCCTTTAGTCTTTCAGATGCAGCCAACCTGAAGGTTCAGTTTGGTATATGTTGAGAGTTAACAAAACTTAAAAGGACTGAGGCATTAATTCTGTCTCAGAAATCACTGTGCCTATAAGTGGGATGATGTAAATACTGGAAACAAAAGTAGTTTTTGATTGAAGTAAACCCCCTTGTTATCTGAACACCTTTTCTTCAGGAACCACCAGAGGCATCGTACACAATTACTCGTCTGCTGGCCTAGACGCCCCTGTTCGGATGCAGAAAAAGAACCTGGAGCAGGAATGTGCTCTTCCTGTGATGTCTTCCCACCAAAGTCTAACGGAAATTTCTTAAGAAAAACTTCAGTATTGCCTTGTGCAATGGTGTTGCCTTCTTGAGTAATGACTTTTTACACTACCAGTAGATGTGCAGATGTGCTTGTTAGTCTACTACATAGGTGCTGCCTTTTCTAAGTTAAAACAAGGAACAGTCCTTCATTTCTGGTGTGCAAATCTATTTTATCCTAGAAGAGCTCATTGGTTGAAGAGCTTTTAATGTATATTAAACCATTGATGCTCAGAAATGTTGGATTCCTCCAAAGAGTCCTTCTCTGGCTTAAACATTTTCTGATGTTTGGCGTTCGAGTGAATGGAAGAAGAAAACCACATGCCTTTACAACTAAGCTGCAGTAATGACCTGGCTAATTTTAGCTCAGCCTCCTTCATTATTTGTTCCCTCAACAGGAGAAATATGAACACAGTAAGTTTAAGCAACTGAATTGGTGCTTGAAATCCATTTGTTTAATTGTAATTTTCTTACAAATTAATTATATGGAGGAATAAGATACTCAGCAAATTGCAAATTCTTTTTTTTAACAGAAGTGTGAATAACAGTAATTTTTTATGAACTGCATACTTCACAGATTTTCTATATGTGGTGATTTTTTTTCTGGTGAAGTTGCTACAAGCCTTGCAAATTTAATACGGCTCTGTCCAGTTTGGGGCCATGCATGTATTTTGCTGCATTGGGAAATGGTTTTTGTTTTTGTTTTTTATTTTTTTTTTAAGTTTTGTCAAACTATGTTTTTCTTATATATGTTTTTGTTTTTCCTACTTTAAGTACTGACAAATATGTATTTCCTATGTATTTGTTTATACTTTGACTACAAATTTTTTTATTTTTTAACTTGCTGCAGTGTTTTGATACTTTTTTTTTAGTCTAATCATGTTTAGAAACTTTGGGCAAGTTCAGAAGTCTTAAGTATGCAAGAGTTTACGTGATTGTGCCATTCCAAAGTGCAACAGAACTGTCATTCCCTTCTAGTATCTTCTCAGGAGTAACGCTTATCAGGTATTTCATCATCATTTGGTATATGGAAACTGCAGTGAGCTCCCAAGGACACTTGCACCATTTATAGTCACACGTTGTGTGGAAGGGTGAGAGTGAGTGTGAAAGGGCAAGTGAAGACCCTCTGTCTGTGTGCACCTGTGGGTGAGAAGACACGTGCCACAGCGACACGCTCAGTGTAGAGCTCCATGTATATAGGTATATGTCTGTGTATATCTCTTTCCTTTTGTTTACAACTATTTTTTTAAACCTCAAAGTAGTTCTCTTCAAAAGAAGATAGATTCCAGGCAACCTGACTTTTCAGTATGTTATGTATATCGTTAGCAGAGAGCACCAGTGAGGATCAGGCGTACATGGCCACCTGTTAGCAGCAGTGCTGTTCCCTGCAAGCCAGCTACTCCGTGAACACGCAAGTCTGGGAGGAGAAAGCGTATTCTTTTCAGTACCTGGAGGATGCAGCTCTCCGTGATAAACAGGGAATTTGAGGACATCACTTACCTTTGGGGTTGCCATGTACATGAGATTTATCATAGTGATACTCTTGAGTGGTGGTTTCCAAAGACACTACTAATCCGCAGGAAGCGTTCCAGCTGTCTGATGCTGGCAACTACTGTTTCATGGTCAGTTAAATCTGTGAGAACGGTTGGCAGTGGGTGGGATTATGAAATTATAGATGTTTTTAGAAAAACATGTGAATGAAAACGAATCCAGGTGTTTCATGTGAAGATGTTGAGCCATTTCTATCATGCATTCCTGTGTCATGGCAGAAAATTTTGAAGATTAAAAAATAAAATAATCAAAATATTTTGTCTCTCTAAATGTCTTAACTCTTAATTTATACTGCTAGTTTCCCTAACTGTCCAATTATCAGAAGACATGACAGTTCAGAAGGAAACATTTGTCAGTCGAATGCTGCTGTGGATAAGATCATTCTGGTAGTAACAGACTCCATCTCGTAACATTAGAGGACGTTACTTCTGATTTATGTTTCCATTTAATAGGGGAATAGCTTCGTTTAATTTACTTCACATCTGTGCGTTCTCTAACGTGTAACACTGGATAATCCCGGTGATGCTGGTTACCTCCTGACCACCGCCTCCCCGTGCTGGCTTTTGTGAAGTACCTGAGCTCAAGAAGTCACGGCCTCGTGCTCAGCGGCACAGGTCCTCTATACAACAACCATAAAAGGGCTGCTGCTGATTTCCTGTGAATTAGTACGCTGAGGTTATTCCAGACATTTTACAGTCGTGGAAATGACTGCGATACTCAACTTCAATGACTGTTCCCAGGCATCCATCCAGACTAATGCAGGTGCGGCTGTGTGGGGGTGGAATTCCTTTCTCACTGATTCTGAAACAGAATGGCTGATAGGCTGAGAACAAATAATGTGATTTTTTTTTTTTTTCTTAAAAAACAAGGAAAGGGGTTGGGGATACGGCACAGCACCTGCCTGGCAAGCACAAGGTCCTGAGTTCAATTCCTGGTACCACCAAAAAAATAAATAAAACAAGGAAATACAGAAAATGAACTCATCTAGGGAGATATGTGACAAATTTGGTTTTGGACACGTCAGGGTGTTAATGTAGCTTCTGAAAGGAACTAGGTTCTCAGTTTAAAAGCTGGAAGATGGAATAAGGACAAGAACGTATTTTAGGGGCAAGAAGAAAAGCTGGATTGCAGAGTACACTGTGAATCCAAACAGCTGTCATCGCGAGGCCGCTCCTCCCGCGGGGGCTCCGTGCTACCGCAGGAAGCTGCGCTGTAGCTGAGAGTGAGGGGACCGGTGAGTGGCTGGTGCGTTTACCTGGGAAACAGCCATGTAGGGGCTCGCACTTCGTAACTTCAAAGCTTGCGCCACTCCCACCAGCCTGGGAGAAACACACTCTGAAAATAGGAAGCACCTGGGCCTGGTGGCACACACGTACAATCCCAAGACCCAAGGGGCTATGACAGGAGGATCAGAGTTTGAAGCCAGCCTGGACTAATAGCAGGACCCTGTCTCATAAATAAAGGAAGGAAGGAAGGAAGTAGCAGCCAGGCATGGTGATGCATCCCTATAATCCCAGCTACTGAGGATGTTGTGGCAGAAGCACGGGGGCCAACCTGGGCAACTTAATGCGACTGTCAGAAAAGGTATAAGGGTAGAAATTTACAGAACTGTGAGAGTGAACCAGGATCACAGAACCGTGAGCCCGCTGCCTCAGTGATGCTCCACATCTGTGTCACTGAAGCCAGTGCTCTTTCCAGATGTCCTCATCTGGTGTCTTCAGGGATGGGAAGGTGCTAGTGGTTCTTCCAAAATTAAAAACAGAAGCAAGCCGGGCGTGGTGGCGCACAGCACTCGGGAGGCCAAGGCAGGAGGATTGCTGCAAGTTCAAGGCCAGCCTCCACTGCATAGTGAAACACGGTCTCAAAAGACCGAAAAGGGGCCAGGGATACAGCTCAGTGGCCCAAGCACCTGCCTAGCAAGTGCAAGGTCCTGGGTTTGGTTTCTAGTACCAAAAAGACCATAAAATAAAATAATAGAAGCAGCTCTTTGTGAAGGAGCAGCTCTGGGCTCAAAGCGTGAGAGCCTGTCTTCGTGGGCACACCTTTTCCAAAGGGAACCTTCATTTCTGATCTACCTTCAGTAAAAGATCCCTGTAGCCTTAAAAGCTCCAATACAGAGAACAAACTTCCCAGCCAAGGGAACAGCAGGAAGAGCAAGTCATCCCAAATGGACAGAAGAGCTTCACTGCCGCCTCTGGAAATGCATTTCTGTACCCACGGTCCCTTCTGGATGAGGTCCATAAGACTTTTACCAATCCAGAAATTTGGCAGAAAAATGTGGCTCCACATCTATGTCTAAAGGGTGAAAAAATGGGCTGAAGCAAGCCTAGGTACTCAGTGGCTAAGATCTGGGAGGGCTGTGCAGCTAGACGCCGCTCAGCAGTAACAGCCGACTACGCCACGCTTAAGTATTCAGCCAGGCCTTTCCAGGGTCCTAAGTTCCATTACTGTCTATTACAGATGGGGAGCAAGTAACTGGCCTAGATTCGTAGCTAATGGTGATGCCTTAAGCAACCATGAACTGGGTCAGACTTCTGGTAGAAAAGCTTGAACACTAGCGTAAGGAAGGAGAGGGTGGTCAGGCTTTGGAAAGGGCCCACACAGGCAACATGGAAGGGGCCTCGTGAACAGATCTGTCCTGCCATCTACAGCCGGGGTGGGGAGCAGAGGAACCTTCAGGCTCAGCTGCTGCCTGCCCTTGCTGCCGTCTGTAACTGCAGGCCAGTGCAGGTGGCCTTAGTCCCAACTGTTAAACCTGTTTGGGTGGAGACAGTGCCCCCTCGCGTAGCAGGCTTTGATTTCCATTCCACCAGGTTGGGCACGGCACCGCCTAGTCACCGAGTACTCTTCGCACGTGGTCCTCGCTCCCCACCCCACACTTCCCGAGACCAGCCAGGGTCGTGCCAGCCCCACGCACACAAGTGCAGCCACGGGGCGTCGGGCTTCTTTCTCCCTCGCAGCAGTGTGATCACGCCGTCCTGAAGAGAGGCTCTCCTCGGGAGCCATCCGCCCGAGATGCGTGTGGATGACCGCCGGTGCTGCTGACTCAGTTCCTCAGTGGGAGTAAGAGTCCGTTCGAGGCCAGTTTGAACTCCTGACAGTGCACACTTAAATGAGATTACACTATAGGAGCAAAAGCCAAAGTGGGTGCCCTAAGAAACGGCCTTGGGGAGCAGAAGCAACTGTAATCAGAGTCCTCAGACCTGGTTATCCCGTTTAATTCTTGACCAGATAGCCGTAGAGCCAGGGCACAGGCTGGGAGAGCTGACGAGTCCCTGGAGCCACCGTCTACAAAGATTTGCCCCGCAGCACCTCAGCAGTGACACCCGTGTACACCGCACTGGGTTGGGGTGATGTGCTCCCCGTGCAACAGCACAGCTCAGTTTCAATCAGCTAAGTTGGGTGTCAAAGTAAAACAGCTTCTCCTCCGTCAGCCTCAGTTTCTCTACACAAGAAATGGGTTGTGCTGCTACCACCTGCGGTGTAGCCAGTGTACCTTCCGGGAGGTCTCTGGCACAGAGGCCATGCGGAGGCCCTGACTTGGGCTAGGGCTGCAGCTCATAGAAGAACGTGTGCTCAGCAAGCTCTGCATTCAACCCTCAGCACCCTGAAAACCACCTGCCCTGCACAAGGAACCGTGCAAAGCTCAACAGGCTCAAGAAAAACACGTAGTCCCTGACCTCACGGGGCAGTGATCTAAAAACAAAAATCAAGGCTTGGGCCGGGGATATAGCTTAGAGGCACAGGTGCCTGCCTGGTAAGCCCAAGGTCCTGAGTTCAATTTCCAGGAGCAAAAAAGGCTTGTACATTTGAGAACTGGTATATGACAAAGTCAGATTCTATAATTTGAAACTTGGAAAGTAAATTATTCCTACTGAAGAATCATGGATTGGATATCTATAGAAACCTATCCACTGTTAAATTCTAGAACTGATATATCATTAAGGTACTTTTTTTTCCCCTTTTGCAGTATTTTGAACTCGGTCTCATGCATGCTAGGCAAGTACTCTACCACTGAGTTACATCCCCACCCTTTTTTTATTTCTTATTTTAAGACAGGGTCTCACTAAGTGGCCCAGGCTGGGCTCAGACTTGCCATCCTCCTGGCTCAGAGTTGCATTTTTAGAAATTTAAAAAATAATAGCTGGTTGCATGCCTGTAATCCTAGCACTTGAGAGGCTGAGGCAGGAGGGTCACTGTGAGGTCAGGCCAGCCTAGACTACAGAGAGAAGCTATCTCCAAAAACAAAACAAAACAAAAATACAGCTGGATATGGTGGTGGATGCCTGTAACCCCAGCACTCTGAAAGACTGGCAGGAGGATCAGGTTGGGCAATTTAGCAGTGTAGTGAGAGTTTATCTCAAAGTAAAAAATAATAAAAAGGGCTGTGGGGGATGGGAGTATAGTTCAGCAGCACAAGCACCTGCCTGGCAAGTGCAAGGTCCTGAGTTCGATTCCTGGTACCAAAAAAAAAACTTAAAAGAGCTGGGGATGGAGCTCAGTGTGAAGCCCTTGAGTTCAACCTCCAGTACCATAAAGAAAATTACACATTATATATACTGTACATATTTTCCCCCCAGTGGAATACAACATACTGTTGCCACATCCAAACTTGGATAACTTTCAGGGGCATTATGCATAGTGAAAGTTCACAAATTACACATTTCCTCTTGTAAGCCACTTTTGAAATGACTGAAGTGCAGAGACAGAACAGATCAGCAGTTGGCAGGGGACAGGAGTGGACAGGCCAGATGCAGCTACACAAGGGTAGTACCTGGGGCTCCTTTGTGGATTCAGATTGAACAACGTCTTCTGAGTGTGATGCGCAGAATTCAGTGTCACAGAACTGCACACACGCAAAGGAATGCACACAGAACTGATGAAAACTGGGCAAGATGTAGTCTCGACTCAAGCTACATTGTGCTAAAGTCAATATGCTGGTGTTGATTTCATAGTTGTTCTAAGATGTCCCCACTGCAGTGACACAGGACTGCTGGCTACAACGGCAAGGGAAGGCATTGTAGGACTCTTAAAAGTTTCTCAGCTGGGCGTGGTGGCCCACCTCTGTAATCCCAGCACTCAGGAGGCTGAGGCAGGGGGATTGTTTCGAGTTTAAGACCAGCCTGGGCTACAAAGTGAGCTCAAGGCCAACCTGAACAGCATAGTCACACAGTCTCAAAAAGACATAAATAAAATAAAATAAAATAAAAGCTTCCTGTGAGTCTGTCATTATTTTAAAATTAAAAATAGTAATG